CTCCAGGAGGATCTGTACATGCTTCCTCCTCCTGGGTTTGAGGGCAATGAGCGAGGTAATGTGTGGAAACTTCACAAGTCAATTTACGGCCTGAAGCAGTCGGCCAGGAATTGGAACTTGTGCCTGAATGAAGCTTTGGAGAAACTAGGTTTCAGGAAGAGTCTTGCTGACAGTTGCCTGTTCCTTAGAGGATCAGGAGACTCACAGGAACTGGTGTTGTTTTATGTTGATGACATCATCCATGTTGGAAAGACAGACAAACAGGTGCAGAGGTTTGCTAAAGAGCTTGGGACACGGTTTCAGCTCAAGGACCTGGGTGCAGTAAAGATCTACCTAGGCGTCCAGATAGCGAGAACTGAGGATGGTAGCTTCTTGCTCAGTCAGAAAGGCAAGATTGAGCAGTTGCTGGAGAAGTTCAGAATGTCCGATTGTACAGGAGTTCGGACACCCATGGAGACGAACTTCGTGAAAGATAGCCAGCAAGCAGAAAGTGCTGAGTTTGAGAATGCTGAGCTCTTTCAGTCAGCTCTAGGTAGTCTGTTGTATCTGTCCCAATGGAGCAGACCAGACATTGCCTTTGCTACCAACCTGCTGAGTAGGGAAGCGCCAAAGCCCAGTGTGAGTGCTTGGCACGGTATCAAGCGGGTACTGCGCTACCTGCAGCATACCAAAGACTTCTGTCTTAAGCTGCCAGCTGAAGGTGAGGCGAAGCTCACATGCTATGCGGACAGTGACTGGGCGAATTCACAGGATCGCAAGTCTGTGTCTGGGTTGGTGATAAAGTTTGGGAAGTCACTAGTTGGGTGGAAGTCCCGGAAGCAAAGTCTCATTGTGCTGTCTTCTACTGAGGCTGAATTCAGTGCACTGTCAGATTTGTGCCGGGAACTAGAGTTCTATAGATGCTTGGTGCAAGAGATCTATGGGGATTGTAGCTTGCCCATCACGGTTTGGGAAGACAATCAACCCTGTTTGTAGTTGGCTGAATCTGCGCAATTTAAGGCGAGAACCAAGCATCTGGACATACGTTTCCAAAATGTGTGTCAGAGTGTTCAGTCAGGTTTGATACGACTGAAGTACTGTGCCAGTCAGAGTAACCTGGCCGATGGATTTACCAAACCTTTAAGCTTCCAGCGTCATGGGGAGTTTTGTGGTGGTTTGGAGTTGGGGGTAAGTTCTGTACTTACTGTCCCCACAGTAGCGCAGGGCGAGAGGGGGTGTGAGGAGAACCTGAGCTTACAGGGTTAAACAGCTCAGAATGTACGCCCTGCCTACAGTTGGGAGGGGGGAAATGCTACGTCAGTTCCGAGAGACTAAAGTCTTTGTTCTTTCTCTCTACTTTCGCTTTTGAGGAGAGAGGACGTGTTTTCGCGATGCTGTTCGCTGTGATAGATAATGGATAGCCTGCTGTAAATAAAACTGCTTTTAGCTGCTAAGATCCTGTGTGGACCTTATTTAAGCACACTGAAGAAGGCACTGGAGTGTTTTGCAGGCATTCCTCTTGCCGCTGTTGAACTCTGCTATGCTCAGAAGTATCGGAATGTGGTCTTTGGAATGCAGAGGCCTGCGATGGGGGAAGCGTGCCGGACGCTTATCTGAGCAATAAATCAATATTATCTAACACATAGCTCCCATTCCCTTCCAAACACACAGACAGGACAGTGTGGTGGCACCCAGGGAATAGTTGCAGCAGCCGGATGGCTGGCAGAAACACACACCATTACACTCTTTTTGAGTGGGATTCACTCTGAATCAGCCAGTTAGTGAACTTGGTGCTCCTGTGCAACAAACCCACTACAAAACTGCTCTTCCCCGCACACTTCCAGGTCCCTCCAGATGGGCTTTTTGAGTGTGATGGATTTTTCTCACTCCAGAGCAGTTTGTCTTTAAGCTGAAGGTCAGCAGGAAAGCAAGGGAGACTAAAAAAAATTGCACTCTTGGTTTCCTGGAAGAAGATCAAAAGACTCCCCTGGACTAGAAGAGACATCTCATTAACAACTGGAGAAATGCCAAAGAACTTTGGATATCTGCTTGGGAGGTTTCTGATGCAGTATTAATTTAACAAGGAGCAAGGAGTGAAACCGAAAGTAGACTGACCAGCTAGCTGAATCCAATTATATTGCTATGGGGTGGGGGGGAACCTCTAACATTTTCCTTTTCAATACTTGTACTTCCAGGGTGAATTGAATGGGTGGGGGGGGTGGAGGAGAGGCAGAAAGAAGAGCTAACTTTTCTGTGGCTAGGGGGCACAATCTGGACGGTTCTGCCGGGGCGCAAGATCACCTAACTACTGCTCTGCGCCTCTGGACCAGGGGTGGATGGTGCTCATTGGGACCGGGAGGGTGGAAGGCAAGGAGGCCAACAGTAGGTGGTGCCAGAGCCAAGGAGTGGCAGAGCCAATATGTTCTGTATCTGAGATGGAGTGGGAAGGGGCTGGTGGCCACCGCAGTCATCCCCTGTCTGCCCTCATGGACCTGCCAGAATCCACTGGGCAAATGCTCATCTTGCCAGAGTCTGGGTCTTCTGCTGTTGCTCTCTCAGAAACCGTGCCCAGGTGGGATGTTTCATTCTTTGTAGCTGCTTCATCCCTGAGGAAGTTGGAGGTGACGCAACTCCTGCATCTCTGACGTGGGAATGTTTGGGGGTATAACAAATTCCACCCTTCTCCCTTGGCTCCCTGGAAAGAAGGCATCTTTACATTTTGAGCGCATTTCACAGGCCAGGAGCCAAGCACCCCTTCCGGAGGGGAAGACGAGGCCCAGAAAAGATGAGCCCTTCCCAGCCCAAAGGCGTTCCCCTGAGATTCAGCTTCCGGGCTATGGCTAACCAGGTTAGGAGCAGGAATATTGGGAGCGGGAAGGAACTGATGTCATCTGCCAGAGCAGCTGGCTAATTGAAGGGAATGAGGCGATAACAAGGCTTTCAAATCTGAGCTCTTGTTTGCGGCTGATTAGCATAGAGGGAGGTGGAGAACAAGGGCAATCGGAAGCAGACTCTGGGTATTTGGTTCCTTCTCTTTGTTCGGGTTCCTACGTCACACCAGCAGTTTAAATGGCAACACTCCTTTGCAAGATTGGCCGCCTTTTTAATTGTTGTTATGGAAAATCAATAAAATGATAAGTTGCCCCTGCCAAAGGGTTGCATGACATCTGGCTGAAGACTTTTTGTGCTAAAAGTTGAAGCTATGCTGGGGTATATGTGGGTGTGGGTGTGTCTGTCCGTCCATGTGGCCGCTGTGTATTCAACATTCCACCCCCTCCAAAGAATCCTAAGAACCTTAGTTTTCCTTTCACAGTACTACGATGCCCAGCACCCTTAACAAACCATTGTTCCCAGGACTTTTTGGGTGTGGGTGGGAGGAGATGTGCTTTACATGTGTGGTGTGCAGGCATCTCCCAGCACATGTGTGGGGGGATTCAAGACTAACTCTTATGCTTTTCTTCCTTAGACCAGCTTGATGTTGAACGAGAGGTTCTCTGGGTTGAGGAATACACGCCATTTCACAGCGAAGCAGAACACGGGCCAAATGGTCACTCTGCCATTGCATTTGGTGAAGTCAGACTGGCTTTGCAAAGGAGCTTGCCCCTGAAGCCAGTTGGTTGCCTGCCTCTGGCTGTCTGGCGGCTTGGCATCACCAAAACACAAAGAGACAGCCCCATGCAACCTCACACCCAAAGATTTCTGCCCATGCTTCAGACATGCAGCCCTAAGAGCAGCTCTGACTCCCACTCTAGGCCCCTCTGCCCCAGTCTTCCTCCTGATGTAGGCTACAGGATCTGGGAAGTCTGATCCAGCTTTGAGGTGTGGTTCCATATGGCCGTTAGTACTGTTGTGTTTTTGCCAGAGAGCCACGTGGTAAGGAAGATCTCCAAGTATGCTTCCTAGGGACTCCACTTTAATCCTCAGGTGTGCCCACAAAGGCATGATCCAGCACCCTCATGCCACAGCTGCCTCTGGGGTGACCCTCCCTCCGGTAAGAGGCGTGCCGCACAGCTGAGTGCCTGACTGTTTGTGTAGGGCGGAGGCTAGGAATCTTGTGGGCTCCCAGATATTGCCAGATCCAATGGCCTTCTGCCTCAGCCAGCATGGCTGACGGTCAGGGGTGATGGAATCCAACAACATCTAGAGGGCCACCGAATTCCCCATCCCTGGTCTAGTGAATTTGAGGTTCTTGTTTTCTCTCCCTCTGCCCCCTTTTGCCTGGAAAAGCACTTTGGCAGATTCCTTTGGAGGATTTGGGTGTGATAAGATTTCCTTTGGAGGATTTGGGTGTTTCTGATTTTTTGTGTCATTTTTGCCAATTCTATGTATTCAAATAATTTAATTTGCCAGTCTTTTACAGTTGGGATTTTTGATGTCTTCCAGTTTTGTGCTATTAATATTCTAGCAGCTACTGTTGCATATTGGAATAAAGTTTTGTCTTCCTTTTTGATTTCCTCACCAACTATTCCCAAAAGGAAGGCTTCAGGTTTTTTTATAAAGGTATATTTAAATATTTTTTTTAATTCATTGTAAATGAGTTCCCAAAACTTTTTAATTACCTCACAAGTCCACCACATGTGGTAGAAATTGCCTTCCTTAATTTTACATTTCCAGCATGTTTTATCTCCATTTTTATACATTTTTTCCAATTTTACAGGTGTGATGTACCACCTGTACATCATTTTTTCCATATTCTCTCTAAGTGTTATGCAAGCTGAAAATTTCATACCTTTATTCCAAAGTTTCCTCCAACTATGGTACTCTATATTGTATCCAAAATCTATCGCCCATTTCACCATTACTTCTTTTATTTCCTCATCTTTAGTGTCCCATTCTAACAATTGGTTGTACATTTTGGAAGAGACTTAAGGGCCTCGGACATAAGATTACCAGGTTAATGAAATAGATGGATGGGATAGAAAGGACTGACAAAACCCGGGACCGGGAGGAAGAGACGTTGGATGAAGATTGGAAGAAAGTTTTAAAATTTTTTATTAGGATTGTTTTGTAAAATTGATGAATGTTAGAAAAATGTTGGAACGAAATTATTTGGCTTTAGCAGAAATGTTAAAAGAATTATGTAAGAATATGTTATGGTTATGAGAAATTGGTATAAACAAGATCTAAGTTTTAAGTTTTAGGGTCTTTTATAGTAAGATAAGGTTAAAATAGATTAAGATAATTTAATGACAGAATACTATGAAAAATGGAAAGGATTTGCTGTGATAATTAACAACTAGAATACAAAAAAGGGAGGAGTGAGGAGGTCGATGAAATAAGGTAATGACAGTTAAGGATTTGGGAATATTGGATTTGTTTTTAAATTTTTTGTGGTTTATTTTTGCTTTTTGATTGTGATGTGTTATGTGTTTTGTTGTTTTTTGATTTTGATTTTTATCAATTTGTATTGTATGATTGTTGTTTGTTTTTCCTTTGTTTTTTCTTTCTTTTTCTCTTTGTTTTTCCTGTAATCTTAAAATTCTTAATAAATATCATTTTTTTTAAAAAAAAGAAGTTTTGATTTGCCTTCCAATATTTCTATTTGGAATTTGGATTTTTTTTCATTCATCCCAATCTTTTTGTCTTCGGTCCACAAAGCGTTAATTTGATGAAATTGAATCCAACCTGTTAGCTTATTCCTTATCTCTTCATATGATCTGATCTTCCATCCTTTTTCTGTTTTAACTAACAGATCATCATATGTCCATCTTTCACCTTCAATATTTATTTTTGTTGTTGTTAAAATATCAGTTGGCGATAACCACCAGGGAGTGCTTCTTTCCAGTATTTTTTTTATTTCTCTCCCATACTTCCAGTAATGGCTTTCTAATAATATGGCTAGAAAATCCTTTGTGGACCTTTCCTTTATTGTGCCACAAATATGCGTGCCAGCCGAATCTGATGTTGAAACCTTCCAAGTCCAACCGGTCTGTGTTTTTTATAACAATCCATTCTTTGATCCAGCAAAGGCACGAGGCTTCATAGTATAGTTTCAAATTTGGAACCGCAAATCCTCCCCTATCTCTTTGGTCTGTAAGTAATTTAAATCTAATTCTTGGCCTTTTTCCTTGCCAAACAAATTTGGAGAGTACTTTCTGCCAATCTTTGAATACTGAGGTTCCCCTGATAATCGGTATATTTTGGAATAAAAACAATAATTTTGGCAGCAGACTCATCTTAATTGCCACCATTCTTCCCGACCAAGAGAGTTTTATCCTGTTCCAAGTATCCAAGTCCTTCTTTATTTCTTTCCAGGTGTTTGTATAGTTATCTTCCATTAAAGTTATATTTTTCGTAGTTAGCCAAATTCCCAGATATTTTGTTTTTTTTTATTACTTTACTCCCAGTCTGTAATTCAAGATGATTTCTTAATTCTTCCTTCATATTCTTAGTCATCATTTTAGTTTTTATTTTGTTTAATTTAAAAACCGGATAACTTTCCAAATTCCTCTAGCAATTCTAACACTTTACCAACACTTTTTGTGGATCTTCTAATGACAACATCAAATCATCAGCATATGCTTTGAGTTTATATTCTTTACTCCAATTCTTATTCCACGTATCTCTGAAGTGTTCCTTATCTTATTTGCAATTATTTCTAACACCATAATAAACAAAAGAGGTGACAGAGGGCACCCCTGTCTTGTACCCTTCGAAATTTCAAAAGAGTCAGTTAGGTTATTATTAATTATTAATTTGGCTCTTTGGTACGAATAGATTGCTTTTATTCCTTCCAGGAATGTGTCCTCTATCCCTGCTGTTTCCATACATTTAATTAGAAATTGCCAGGATACATTATCGAAAGCCTTTTTGGCATCAATAAACATTAACACCGCGGGAATTTCATTTTTGCATTCCAAGTATTCGATAATGTTTATTATATGTCTTATATTGTCTTTTAATTGCCTATTGGGTAGAAATCCGGCTTGATCATTATGAATAAAATTGACTAAACACTTTTTAAACCGATTCGCCATTACTTCTACAAAGATTTTATAATCATTATTTAATAATGAGATCGGTCTATAATTCTTAATGTTAAGCTTGTCTGAGTCTGGTTTGGGTATTAGCGTAATGTATGCTTCTTTCCAGGAGTCTGGTATTCTTCCTCCTCTTAAAATCTCATTCATTACTTCACAAAGCACCGGAGTTAAGAGTTCTTCTAGGACTTTGTAATACTTGGCCGATAAACCATCAGGCCCCGGGGTTTTCCCTAATTTCCTCTTCTTTATCACCTCTTGAATTTCCTCTGTTTTTATAGGTTTGTTTAATAGACTTTTCTCCTCCTCCGATAAACATTTAACTCTGTTGTCTTGTAAATATTTTCCTATTTCTGTTACATCATCTTCTTCTTTTTTACACAATTTTTCATAAAATTTAAGGAAGCTCTTTTTTATTTCATTAGGATCCTCCAAGAGTTGTTCTTCTGTTTTTTTTTTTAAAAATGATATTTATTCCAAGTTTAAAATTACAAAAAAGAGAAGGAAAAACAATACAAAATACAAAGAAAAATTTAACCATAACAAAGTGAGAAATAACAAGAAAAAAGTGAACAATAAAATAGAATAAAAAAGAAGACGAAACAAAAAATATAAAAATGCATTGAGTTAGAATAGAACAAAAACAGATTAAACCTTTACATAACCTTTTCCCTTTACTTATTTCCATGACCTCCTCTCACCTCCCAATTTTGTATTCTAGTTCAGATCGTATTTCCAGCAAATCCTTCTAACCTTATTTCCATTTACGTATTTTAATTTAAAATAATGTAATTAAACATCCTCTGTTTCATCAATTTCATCAACTCATTTTTGCTTAATCCTTTATATCATATCTACCAAAACGACCTAATTTTCTTTTTCCAACATCTTTCTAACAGTCTTTTATATTACAATATTTTTGAAGATATATTTTGAATTTTTTCCAATCTTCTTCCATCGACCCTTCTCCCTGGTCTCGAATTCTGCCAGTCATCTCAGCCAGTTCCATGTAGTCCATCACTTTCATCTGCCATTCTTCTCGGGTGGGTAATTCTTGTGTCTTCCAGTACTTTCCGATGAGTATTCTTGCTGCTGTTGTAGCATACATAAAAAAAGTTCTATCCTCCCTTCGCACCAATTGGCCGACCATGCCCAGAAGAAAGGCCTCTGGTTTCTTCAGAAAGGTATATTTAAATACCTTTTTCAATTCATTATATATCATTTCCCAGAAAGCCTTAATCCTTGGGCATGTCCACCAAAGGTGAAAAAATGTGCCCTCAGTCTCTTTACATTTCCAACATTTACTATCTGACAAATGATAGATTTTTGCTAGCTTGGCTGGGGTTAAGTACCACCTGTAGATCATTTTCATTATATTTTCTCTTAAGGCATTACAAGCCGTAAATTTCATACTTGTGGTCCATAACTGTTCCCATTCAGCAAACATAATGTTATGTCCAAAGTCTTGTGCCCATTTAATCATAACAGATTTAACCGTTTCATCCTGTGTATTCCATTTCAACAGCAAGTTATACATTCTTGATAAATTTTTAGTTTTAGGATCTAACAATTCTGTTTCCAATTTTGATTTTTCCTCCTGGAAACCAATCTTCTTATCTAAATTATAAGCCTCCCTTATTTGATAATAATGAAGCCAGTCTCGAACTTTAGTTTTTAATTTGTCAAAGCTCTGCAGCTTTAATCTATCTCCATCTTGTTCTAAAATTTCACAATATTTTGGCCAATTTGTCTCCATATTGATTTTTTTCAGAGCCATAGCCTCCATTGGTGACAGCCACCTTGGTGTTTTACTTTCCAACAAATCCTTATATCTCACCCAGACATTAAACAATGCTTTCCTGACAATATGGTTCTTAAAGGCCTTATGTGCTTTAACCTTGTCATACCATAAGTATGCATGCCATCCAAAGACATTGTTAAAACCTTCTAGATCCAAAATGTCCATGTTTTCAAGAAGCAGCCAATCTTTCAGCCAGCAAAATGCGGCTGATTCATAATAAAGTTTAAGATCTGGCAGGGCAAATCCACCTCTTTCTTTAGCATCAGTTAAAATCTTAAATTTTATTCTGGGCTTCTTGCCCTGCCAGACAAATCTCGAAATATCTCTCTGCCATTTCTTGAAACAGTCCATCTTGTCCAGAATCTGCAATGTTTGAAACAAAAACAACATCCTAGGCAGTACATTCATCTTTATCACAGCAATTCGGCCCAACAATGATAACTTCAATTTTGACCATATTTCCAAATCCTTTTTCACTTCCATCCAGCATTTTTCATAATTATCTTTAAATAAATTCACATTTTTAGCAGTCATATGAACCCCTAGCTATTTCACTTTCTTAACCAATATTAATCCTGTCTCCTTCTGAAACCTCTCTTTCTCAATCTCTGTAAGATTTTTCTCTAACACCTTGGTTTTCACCTTATTCAACTTAAATCCTGCTACTTGACCAAATTCTTGAATTAATTGCAATACTCTTTTGGTACTGGATTCTGGCTCCTGTAATGTCAAAACCAAATCATCAGCAAAAGCTTTCAATTTATACTGTTTGGCTCCGAGTTGTATACCTTTAACCAATTGGTCTTTCCTGATCATGTTAAGCAAAACCTCCAGGACCGATATAAAAAGCAATGGGGAGATTGGGCAACCCTGTCTTGTTCCTTTCTCAATCTTAAACTCTTCTGTAACTACGTTGTTTACAATCAACTTAGCTTTTTGTTCTGAGTAAATTGCACCTATACCGTTTTCAAAACCTTGGCCTACCCCCATTCCCTGTAGATTTTTCTTCATAAAACTCCAAGAAATATTATCAAAGGCTTTCTCCGCATCCACAAATATTAGAACTGCTTTAGTGTTAATATTAACTTGTAATTTTTCTAAAATGTTAATTATGTTCCTCGTATTATCTGACAAATGCCTCCCCGGGAGAAAGCCCGCTTGGTCCTTATGAATTTCTTCCACCAATACCTTTTTTAATCTTTTAGCCATAATTTCCGCAAAAATTTTGTAATCCACATTAAGTAGAGATATGGGACGGTAGTTCTTAAGCTGTGTCTTTTCCGCTTCTGTTTTCGGTATAAGTGTAATATAAGCTTCTTTCCACGACTCGGGTGCCTTTCCCCCCCCTAATATTTCATTGCAAACTTCTTTCAAAGGCTGTATTAACCATTCTTTCAAAGATTTATAGTACTTTGCAGTCAAACCATCTGGCCCTGGAGATTTGCCCAATTTCATATTCTGAATGGCTCCTTCCACCTCTTGGTCAGTTATTATACAATTTAGCATTGATTTACTCTCTTGAGAGATTTTTTTGTAATCCATTTGTTCTCAGAAACCGATCAATGTCTATTTCTTTCTGAGTCTCCTGCGTGTATAGCTGTTTAAAATACTTCTGAAAACACTTTCTAATCTCCGCAGGGTTCTGTATGTTCTTTCCCTCTACTACCAAATTCGTAATAGTATTAAGTTTTTGTCTTTTTTTTTAATTTGCCATGCCAGCAGTTTCCCACACTTGTTCGCTGATTCAAATGTCTTTTGTCTCATCTGTTTAATCTTCCATTCTATTTCCTGATTTGTCAGTTTCATATATTGTACTTGATATAGCTTTATCTCTTTTAAGATCTCCTGTGAATTCGGTTTCATCCTCAGTCTCTTTTCTCCATCCTTTATTTTCTCCAAGATTTTTTCCCTTTTCTCATTTTGAACTCTTTTCCTAATTGCATTTTGTTGTATCAGAAACCCTCTCATAACTGCTTTACTTGCATCCCAAATCACTCTTTTTTCAGTCGTAGTATTCATGTTTATCTCAAAATAGTCTCTCAAGTTTTTCTGGGCCTTTTTAATAATTTCCTCGTTCCTAAACAGGGAGTCATTCATCCTCCATCTGAAAGACCCAATTGGCGTTAATGTCATTTCCATCTTCACTGCATTATGATCAGAGCAAATTTTAGGGCAAATTACCACTTTTTTTATCTTTGGGGCCAGTCCCCTAGTTATCCAAATTTGGTCTATTCTTGTCCATGTCATTTTAGCTTCAGAGAAGAAGGTTCCTTCTCTTTCCAAGGGGTTTTTTGTTCTCCAAATATCTACAAGATCCATATTGTCAGTCATTTCGAAAAATGTCTTTGGTAGTCTGCCATCTTTCGTCACCGTTTGTCTTTGGGCTTTATCCATATTCGTAGACACTACTCCATTCATATCTCCCATCAAGATCATGTTGTAATCCAAATAGTCCAGTAAAATTTCATGCAATTTCTTAAAGAATTCTGATTTTCCCTCATTCGGTGCATAAATGCCTAATGTCAAAAACTTCTGACCATGGAGTTGTATTTCAATTGCAATAAATCTTCCTTGGTCATCTTTAAATAAAAATTTCGGTGACAGGCTTTCCTTTGCATAAAGTACTACTCCTCTTTTTTAACGTTGTCTGATGAAATAAATTCTTCTCCCAATCTTTTATTGATCAAAATTTTCCGATGTAGCCTTGTCACATGCGTTTCTTGTAAACAAATCAAGTCCAAATGTTCTTTTTTTAATATATGAAATACTCTCCCCCTTTTTTCCCGAGAGTTCAGTCCATTCACATTCCAACTTAATACTTGCAGTGTCATGATGTACTTACTCTCCTTCTCCCCCAACAGCCCCCAACAATTTGTCTATATCTGTCGGTGGCGTTGATTTCCCTTTTTTTTGTAGACTCTTGTCCAGTGCGGCAGGCTCTTTTCCAAGTCCTTTCTGTAGGTCTTCTTCGTATGTGCTCAGAAACTTATTTTTTTCCTCCACTGATCTTATTTTTGTCTTTCTTCCTTTGAAACTAAAAGATAGGCCTTGAGGGAATTCCCACCTGAAGAGGATCTTACTTTTTCTCAACAGGGCCACCAAATCTCCAAAGTCTTGTCTTAAATCCAAAAGATGTTTCGATATGTCTTTGAAGATTTCCACTTTTGATTGCAGAATTATCAAGGGTTTCTGGTAATGCAAACCCCAAATTTTGTCCCTTTCTTCTTTAGATCGGAGGGTAATCAGGCAATCCCTTATTTTAATCTTTTTTCCTCCTTTTCCCAGTCTGAAGGCCCTCACGATCTTAAAATCTTCTTGTTTCAATTCCGATTTCCAAAATTCTGCAAATTCTTGTGTCAAAAAATCTGTCAGGGTGCCCGTCTCCAGCTCAGGAATAGCTCTAATCCTTAAATTCGTCTGTTTCTCTTTCAATTCGATCATAGACAGCGTCAACTTATGATCTGCAATTTCCTTCTGTAGGCCAGGGACCTTCTCAGTTTCCAGCTGCTCTACTTTAAATTCCACGGCAGCAGTTTTTTCCTGTGTCGATTTCGATTCCTGCAATAATTTCTGAATAGATTCTGTGTTACTATTCACCTTTTCCCCCAAGTTGTCTAATGTTTCTGTGTTTAGATCAATTTTTTTATTTGCAGTATCAACTTTCTTATTCGTTTCTTCAACCTTCTTGTTCGTCTCATCGACCTTCGTGCTAAGTTGTAATAAAGTTTCATTAATCTTGGCCAATGCATTTGCTAAAACTTCTTCTGCCATTCCACTGGACTTAGCTTGTGTTACTGTCGTAGGCAGACCCGCAGATGATTGCCTTCGGTGCCCCCAAGCTTTCCCAGACCTCAAAACTGACACGTCTAATTTTTCTTTCCCATCTGCCATAACAATGGAAAAGCCAAGGTCACTCTCAGATAGGCTATTCCTGTTTACCAGTGGAAAATTCCCTTGTTGCAATTACAAAAGTCCCCTAGGTGGACACTGTTGCAATAGTCCAAAGAAGTAACTTTCCTTCTTAGAGTAACAAAGGGAACTCCAGTCAAAGAAAGAAAACAGTTCCAATTAAATTACCTTCCAGTTATTTTTCCACCAAAGCTGGCCACAATGTATCCACCTTACTGTCAGCAGATCTCTTTTGACAGCTTTTGACAGCTGAGACGTCTCACTGGCAGACCGTTCCCAGGTGATTTTTACACTTCTCCTTTCTTTGTACAGCTTTACACAGTCCAAAGCAACCCCCTTCCTTCCCTGCTTTCAGAAGGGTAGATTCAGAAAAGTTCTCAAGTCGGAAAACAGCTCTTTTCAAACTTGGTTTCAACGCTTTAGCTCTAAAGTCTCTATGCTTTACACTATCTACAACACGGGAGGCAGACTTCCTGGTTATACCTCCCGCCGCGGTAGCCAATTCAGTCCTTTTTTTTCCTTTCTGGTGAACCCAATTCAGTCAGTCTTTTATTTTTAAAATAAGCAGTCCAATTCCGCCTACTCACGGATAATCCTTTAAGATCCAGTTGTTCCAGGATAGAAATCAGCGCTCTCCAGCAACGGCAATGCGGCTTCGCTCCGTGAAAGCAGCAATCGACTCACAGCACCGTGCCTCTCCCCCGTTCCGCTCCGAAGCCTCGGAAAAGGCTTCCTCGCGAGTTGGGGGGGCGCTGAAGGGTGCCCGCCGAGTCCCCACGTTCGCAGGCTTCACTGCCTGCGATTTCTAAGGGTCCCTGCTCCGCCGCAGCGCAGGACCCGATTTTCACGGAGCCGATCCCCTCTGAGATCAAAG